GCTTCGAAACAGAATTAAATACTGTTATGAATAGAGGTGACTTCAAATTATTATGACCATTAATTTAAAGATTAAAAGCTTTAAGAGTTACTCACTACAGATCATGAACGGATACTTGAAAGGTAAAGGATGGTAAGATGAATTGAAACATATAAGACTTCATGACGTCTATGAAATCATTCAACATTTTTCTAAAAACCTTCTTTCGTTTCTCTTCATAGCATGCTACAATAGATTAGTATTTCAATATCAAATCATTGTCTTGCATCTATCTCAGAAATACTGGAAAATAGTCATAGTTATAATAGCAAATAGATCCTTTTACTCGAACCAAGTCTGTGCTAACCGATCTTTTAGTCTATCGTTAAGGTTGAAAGACTGGATGATATCTATTGACACGCAGATGTTGACCACAATCCCTCACCTTATATTCTACATACTGAAGAACTTTCCACTGAGCTGTTTCTAAACAACCGTCTTGCTTGGAGGCCTCTTCAATCCATTGTTCACTATTTTTCTTTTGTTTAATCGTGAATAAAACACTCGTTTGGTAGCGTATGCTCATAGAAGAGTTTCAATTCATTACTAAATACTCACATCTCACTACTAAGTGTTTATTAGTAACACTTATGTAAATGTGAAAATTTAAATACTAAGCTCCATATCTTTTATTCATGATTATTGGAATGTGATTTCAGCCGGAAGTCTTTTACAGTCCGATAGCTAAGGTCTTCTTCTTTACTCATTCCTTAGATTCGGTTAAATTCGGTGGAACAAAGGTAGCTTAGCCTATTCCTCCTGTTTCACAAATGTATATATTTAACACTGTTTAAAGCAGGATAACAAATCGTCACCAACACCTACTTAAAATCACATTTACTAGTACTCGTTTAACTATGAAGTATCTCTGATAAACAGAAAACAATCTACTCAACCGACAGATACAAAAGATATTTTGTAAGTGCAAAAATCCAATAAAAGAAAATGAACTTCAGCGAGGAAATGCGAATCCTATGAAATTCTCTAAATCTAATTTTTATTGTACTTTTGCAAATTACAAGATATTTTATTTCAGTTACAATTGCGTTACCTTGGAATTATCTGCAGTAAATTCAGGGAGACACGCAGACAACAAAAGCTGGCAGCATTTTTGCCGGTTATAAATGTTATTTTGCAAATCTTGAATTTATCTTTTTCGCTATTTGGCCATTGTTGTTACCTTTTTTATTCTTAAAGCCAAAAGTATTGCAATTTTGATGTTGATCGCCGTCTAACGGTGCGTTGAGTATCTGTATCTGCAGTGCTTGAATAAATGAAATGAAATTCGTTCTGGAAGGGAATTTGTTTACAGTTACCATAAACCACATCAAAGTTAACAAAAAGCCATAAATACTTGCACTGGAGATTTATTAGGCTTATAACATAAGCGATTTGCAAATTTTTTGAGCTTCACTTGAAATTTATTTCTACATTTTATTTAACTTCTAAGGATTTACTCTCTAAAAAAAGAAAGAATAAGAAACGATAAACAAATACTTTGTAAAATTTAAAATAAATGCAAATTTAATACGAAACATTTTATTAAAACTACATTCGCTCAAGAATATTGGTAATATCCTTGATAACTGAATTCAATTCTCCTACTCTTCTCCTGTTTAGTTTTCAGAAATAAAAATATGTGAATACAACACTAAAGTAGCAAATTATTGAGAACTTTAACGAGACAACCAATAGATTTATTTCAAATGTAATAAAAACAATCCAAACTTTGAAAATAATTGCACAACAGATATTGGATTTCTATCTCAGTACTGTTTGTAGTACCAGTGGGTCACTGTGTAAACCCAAGCGTGCTAACTTACTATCCTCTTAGTACAACTCCTGGATCATATAATCTTAAAATACTGTCAGCAATAGCGTAGTCACTTAGATCAACACTGAAAAGGGAAAGTATGGAAATTTCATTAAAGAATCAAGAGATTTTTTAAACTAGAGAAGACAGAAGAAAGTCCTACTATTAACGCATTGCAATTGGCCTAAGCTTTGATAGTCGCAACCGCAAAATCTATCCTAGCCAAAACTATATCAAAACAGAAAAATACTATAAATCGGAAAGCATTTCAACTTGACTACTTCAAGGTATAATATTAGTCCCATTCATGTATTTACTGGGTACCTAATTTCCGCCATTTGCTTAAAGAATCTTTACAGAGTTTTATGATGATACAGCTGTCCTGTCAGTGAACAAAGTCCTGCTGGACAACATTACTTATTTGTTTTAAACATTTAGAAATCAAACTGATTAAAAGTTCTGTTTCGAAAAGATTCGATCTTAATCAAGATTTCTTCACACCTTCCAAAATCGCGATTTACTTATTTTATTGATATATCTTGTCACGCATATTGTCAAGTATATTTGATAAAATTAAAAACATTTAAAGTTGAAATGAAAAGTTTTTTAGTGAAACTTATATATTATATTTTTTATATTTAATCGTATTATAAAAATTAATTTTTTACGATTAAATGCAATCAAAATTTTTACTGTTTATGTACAGTTTATATTGACTTAAAAACACAATTGTACACTGTAAAAAAAAACAAAGGTTGACGAAACTTAAAACAACTACATGAATAACTATTTTCGTGCGAGTCACGAAGGCAAGATTTTGGTATATCCAATTTCACGATCTGAAGGAGCTAAGCAGATAAATAGCTACGATGATTCTTAGACTAAGAGAGTTTTCTGCTTAGCAGACAAGAAATCAAAACGATTTCAAAATAATAATTGGACTATGTAGCTTACTTACCGAATATTGATATCCAAATAAATTTATACCTAGATAGGCATCTTATATCGAATGAAAGGAACAGAAAGGGACAATATATTAAAAAAGTCGCATATTTAAAATTTTCCAACTTCGGATTACCAGATTAAATTCTTGAATGTAAAATCAAAATTTCGGCGAATCTGAAATTTTTTCGGTATTTAGAAAAATCAATCAGCGAAATCTGTTATATTGAACTTATAGAAGGAAATCAAATTATTCTGAAACTTACCTTCCATTGCAGTCATGAAGACAATTGAATCCAAAACAATGAAATCGAGTATTGTAATGAAATGTCGCTTACATGAACACCGCACATGACAAGGTACTTGTTTGGTGGGTTGTGGACATACGAATATTGAAGCAGACTAGTTGATCAGAAAAGGTTCAGAAATCCACAGAATAAGTCTAACTCATCTTGATAAACCACTATGTGTATACTATTTAGAAGCATAGAAGAATTCACCATTTCAATAACATATAACTGTGAGGGTGCCAGGTTGCCAGAACCTTATACCCAGATTAGACAGAAATAAAACGAAAAACATTTTGGGACTCAGCAAACCTGCAGTGCGGTTACTTATGAGAGTACTAACAGAGCACTGTGCTATTGCACTGGCACTTTCACATTAGCTTAATCCAACAACTGGACTATGCAAGAACTGCAACAATTAAGATAAGATATATAGAATCCGTTAATCAGTTTTCGGTCAATTGCCCGGGACTTCAGACGAAGTAATTTCAGTGGCTTAAAGATGGTTTCTTTACTGGGCTGACTGAGTTAAATTAACTTGTCGAATCTACTTAGCATTTTCTGGAAAACCAATTGACTGGGGAAGAACAACATCAGAAGTTAACAGCGGTACTTGTCTTGGAGGTGCTTGGAGCACACGTCCTCTTACTTTTACTAACCTAGCCTAACTAGTTACATTTTAAAGCACTACTTTATGTGCTAACTATATACCCACAAAACTTGCAATTTTTTCCAGTGTACGAGTATTCCAAACTAAATACCTAAAAAATGGTGCAAGTAACGTAAGTCGATTTTATGGCTTCAATGCTGTAATTTATTGTAGACGACGTTCATTTTGATAGAAAAAGACATTATATAAAATTTTATATCAAATTTGTGCAAAAATAGAACAGTTAAGCACCGTTAAAGTATATCCTAAAAGCAGATTAAGTCCATTTTATTTACAACAAAAGAGCGGAAAGCCAAAATGAGGCAAATTAAAATTTCGTGCAAATAAAACGAAAACGGCTGTGAATGCAGTAAATAGTAATTTTCACTTAAAAAATTAAAATTCTGTACAATTTTTTAGTATTTTTTTTTTGTATATATTTTAAGCACAGAACGAAACATTTCAGAAATATTTTAACGAAAAAAGTGTCGAACAAATTTGCTAAATACTCTGACCTCCATTAACATTGCGAGCAGAAGGAGCAGCAGCAGTGAGACAGCTCCTTTGAGGGGAGATGTTCACACTTTCGGTTGAAATTAGCTTTCTTTGCGATTAAATGCGAATGGACACCGAACATGGAAGAGTTTGGAATTCCACAGACAGACGAAGAAAGCAACGTCAGTTAGCGAAAAGATTCAGGAAGAATGTTGCTACTCAATTTAGCACTGCAGTCAATGCAGTCAACTGCAGTGCAGCATGCATCTTGTATCTTTCAGCAACTCATAAGAAATTGGCAGCGGCACGCTTAAGTACTTGCACTGCGTGTTTCTGGGCAATTTTCAAGTATTCCGCATTGTTTGATGTGGAATGCATGTTGAAAAGTTCAACTGAAACAGTGAACATCCAAAATCTCTTTTTGTCCGCTTTGTTACTAACATTACCGATAAAAAGCATTGCTGTGGTTGTTGCATCTTCAACGTTTAACGTTCGTTTTGCATCAGTACTCGTATCCAACAGATACATTTCAAGTGTGTGGCTTTTGGCTTATCACTTGCAATCACTAAGCTTCATTGGCTTTTGATGTGTACGAAGTTAATTGCTTTTTAATATCGAACCCGTAATGTTTTCAAATTGTTTTTAAGTTCACGTTTAATATAAATTGATTTAGACTTTGCGAAACTGTACGGCTGCAAGTTCTGCCAGATTCATAATCTTGATTGAATCGATTTTAAATGCATTTCTCATTCTTCTTTGAACTTTTCATTTTCAGCTTGTGAATGTCATCCAATTGGCTCATCTGGCAAAACTTGCAATCATACTTCTGGACAGTGCCCCTGCAAAGATGGCGTTACCGGGCTCACTTGTAATCGCTGTGCACGCGGCTACCAACAGAGTCGCTCACACATAGCACCCTGTATAAGTAAGTTATTATATTATCAGCAGCGAAAGCCAAGACTAACTATCTAATATATTAAAATCTTCATATTTTGTTTTTACTGATAGAAGTGCCGCCTCGCATGTCAAACATGCTGGACACCCAAAATACCGAACCCGAACCTAATCCGTATGAAGCCAATGCACCTTATCGCACTGATGGCGGGAGGGGTAAGTAAGTGTTTCTCTTTATTTCTTTCATTTATGTTGTGTTGTGTTCTTTATGTTTTTTTTTTATGTTTATTTTTACATTTATCACATCACTTCGCCGTGCGAACACATCATTGAGTGGCAGCTTCATTCATAAAAACGCAAATTAATTTTATTGACTAAACTTTTTTATTCTACAAAATTTCAAAATTGTTTTTAAACATAATTTTCCTATTTTATAACATCACTTAAGAGTTCAGCAAACCTGCGGAGAATAAATATTGTAAAGCCACAAAAGCTAAAAGGGTTAAAGGTGACTCTTTGCCGCAATACACAAATGTCGTTGTAAATGATGTGGGGTCTATGGATAGACTTATGTATGAAAAAAAATGGTATATAGCACAGCAAATATCGCAACAGAGTTGCCAATATTAAAAAAAATTTTTACGACCTAATCAAATTTAATATTAAATGTGCGGGATCGCCACTTATCAGCGAACTAACAGAGTAAAGTGGGCAACAGACGTTGGTTGAAACCTTCTGGATATGACAATTTTAATTTTTTTGTTAGTATTTAGGTATTAGTTATTAAAATACACAATAGTTTAGGGATATAATTTTGCATTTATTTTTTTATTTTTATTTGTCCACTCTCACTAGTCATCACATTTATTTTGTTATTGTTTTTTGAATCCAAATTCCTTAGAAAGGTTTAGATAGATATAGTTGTAGTCTCAGATTGACACTATCTCATATTGACAGAATTTTTAAAACTAGATTTTTGTAAGCAAGCTTGGCAACTCTAATGTCATTGAAATTTAAGTTTGAACTAATAAAGAGTAACAAGTATCCTTACCTTACCAGCTAGTGTACGCCTAACGTAACATTGCAGTACTTGAGTTGCCACACATTAAATCGTTTTAATTGCAGAAACCAATTTATGAATGAATCTAGGAATAAAGAAACCTTTAACGTGTATCATGGAATTGTGCAGTAAAGGAATTTTCATTTGCATACTCCATAAAGTCCTTCACGTAAATATGCAACACTAATTAAATGATTTCATTGAAGAAATCTCTATGAAACATTGAATTCCTCCAAAGTAAACAGCACACTTGTGAACTTATTTACGAGCATCTGCGAGTAGACTGACGCTGCAGTTGTGGCATGAATGTGTTGAACCATAAATATGAATAACAAAAGCAATACCAGGAATCAGGAATCAACTTGTAATAGCTACAATGTTGGCAACATTTTGCAAGTTCCCAGGATTCAGATTTGTTTTTTCCTGTTACCATAAGGACGGTGATTAAGGACATGACAGCATTGCGAACACACATGTTCTCTTTGTGCACAGATATCAGAATAAAAAAGTCCTTGGCATGAGAAGGATAATCGCTTGTTAATCAGCGCCTTAAATATGTTGTAACGGCGGTTCCGTAGCAAGCAAAAGCTAAGAAAAGCAACATGAAAAAGAAAATCTGTTAAAAGCATAGACAGTTAAAGTGGAAAAAACATTCCAGATAAGTTGAATACATGAGATAATTTATTTAGCCAGGATACCGCAGGAAAAATACTTCAAAAAGCCAAACAGATTCTTTGAATTGAAAAGTAAATTTAAGAGCATTTACTTATTTAAGCATTTTCGTTTATGAGAAAGTTTAAATTTAACAACTTATTTTTATAGAAATTTGTTTATAAATAAAATTAAACTTAATTTCACAAAATTGCTTGCATAATCCGCTTAATGAAAAGCAAGCGCCGCTCATCTTATTTGCAATACAAAAACTTTCCAACTATGGAAATTTAAACGGCAACAGAAATTGCCTTACGTGCTCGAAAACAGATAAAAAGCAAAAAGGGGAAGAACACAACTGGCAACAAGCAGAAAACTACTACTGTTGGTAGAACAGAGATAACAATATGCCATAAATTATGCAGTTATGTGGTTAGCTTAAGTTTTTTACTATCCAACAACAACAGCAACAACAACAACAACAACAACAACAACAACAACAACACCAACAACTATTGCAAGAAGAAATAGTCTCAAGTAAATCATAAACAAACTCACAGGAGAACTTGCAAGAGCTTATCCTTTGCCTGCATAGACAACTATTTTTTTTCTTAAGCAAAATATTAAAAACTTTTGTAAAGTCGTTGTAGGAAACGAAGAAGGAGGGGTGAATATGATGTTTATTATGTTACTAATTGTGCAACTATAATATTTGCATAAAACATTTATGCTAACAAGTGGCAACACTGTTTTATTTAAACTCAGTAAACTTTGCTTAGTTTAATCGCAACAAAACCGTTACGATTTTAAACTTTTTAATGAAGAAACTGAGTTACATTGCAGTGTAAATTATGTAGTTTAATAAATCCTTGCGGCTACGAGGACAACAATTCGTTTTTATCTAACACTAACAAATAAATAATACTTACATAGTGAAGAGAAATCATGAACATGTGGGACTTTATAGTTTTTTAAGACCTATATTCATACATACCGGAGTAGTTAAATATAAACCCATTCTCTTTATTTTATTACTATTTATTTATCACATTCAAAATTGGTTTTATTTGATCCAAGACAAACATATATGCCACCTCTCGTTCCAGTCTTCAATATATTTTTCATAGGTATTTTCCAGTATGGTCGATACCTACTGCAGCAAATTTTATTTTATGACTTAAATCGTGCAAAATGAATTCTACTGAGCTTTAATTTAGTGTATAGAACAAAAAAGATTGCATGGAGCTGGAACTGGAGAATGTGATGGTTAATTTGACTTGATCGTAACTATAACTTTATACAACGAAGCATTATGTATAAAAAGCTTTTCAACATCCGTTTCTAATGGATTTTTCAAACCTAAAATACAGGAAGTATGTAGCTTGAAATAGTTGGCGTCAAAATGTCTTACAGATACTTCAGAGACCCTAGCGGTATCAGTTAAAGACAATGTGAGAAGACTGATAATCTTATTAAATCCTTCGATTATTAAACCCAAGTGCCTCTATTGCCTCAACACTTTTACAAAGTTTTATTTAAGGATATTTATGACCACCTCTTTGACTATTTTCTTCAAGATGTAAACTATGTCAGAAATTATCTCTTTTCACCAGAAAATGGTCAGATATTATCTCTTTTCACCAGACTTTTTCTTTAATTTTTTCTTGATTGGTCAGATCGAATTAAGTCCATAATGAAGTAAATCTAAGTACCACTGTATGCTTGGTACCTACTTGGACTGAAAGAAGCAATTTTAGTCAATACTAAAGCGAATATCTTACGAATCTAGTTAATAATTTATTAAATAATTTTTATAAAATCTTTATATTCCCTTATATATTCCCAATTTGTGTATGAGCAATCTTTGCGGAAACTCTTTTTTAAAAAATATTATTATGTTTTCATTGAAACTGTCTAGAGTGGCATAAAATTCCTTTTTTACTTACTTTCAGATTTTTTTATTTATGTGAACTTTTAAGAACTCTCAATTTAGAAAAATCAACAATAGCCCCAAAATACTTATGAGGTCATTTTGGGTTGTTTTTCATCCGGCGCAACCCAATTGAGCTCAATAAATTGTTTATTTTTATTGATGCAATTAGTTGTGATTTTACCACAAACATCAAGTAAAAATACACACTAAAATAAATAAAATAATAAAAAACTATATCAATGTCTGATTCCACCGAACGAAGCACTTGTGGGGCGTAAATCGGCTTCACTTTTTAGTGTGACGTTGCAACGCCTTGAAATATTCTCAAAAAACAAGGTGGAATTCAACGCATAGAACGAAACACACTTAACTTTTCAGTTTATTAGCTATCGAATTTACAAATGAATCACTTTAGAGTATATAATTTTATTTATATGTAAACTACCGAACATGAATGTCGAACATTGATAGAATCAGAAACCAGAGAGCAATTAAAATCGAACGAAATGAAAACGTTTTCACTTGTTCAATTTAAACAAATCCCGAAGAGGCGAGTACTCCTCACGCACGCACCTCCGCACTTCTCTTGTTATAGACTTGAGTCTATAAATTTTCTAAGTATTTTTAGCTTCGATGTGTAAAGTCCAATTTGGAAGCTAACAGGGTAATTTGGTGCAAGGTGTTGATGGCCGCAGCTGCGGGAACGCGCACTTTGAAGTTGAATTGGGGAAGATTTTTATTTATTTATTTTTTGTGAGTTTTTTTAGCACTATTCTGTACTAAGACTTTCGACTTAAGAATTCGTTTTTTGATATAAAAATCTAAAAGGAACGAAAAACTATTTTAACATTGAAAATGTTATTAAAACGAATCCTACAGCAATTTTTTTCTAATATATATTTACTGTTTTTAGTGCAGTTAGCTAGCACGCAGTTTATGTAGGTGTAATTGCAAATAACCGAACTCATAAACTAAGCCGCCTTCCAACAGAACTCGAAATAATGTCACCCGATCTCTATGTAGATCAAACTATGATCTTGCACACGACTAATGGTGAGCAAAAATAAATGTCACTATCATTGGGTTCACATATCCGGGTAGAAAATACTGAAAACCTAATGTGGGGTATATACATAATACACATAATAGCACTTAATAGATACATAAACTTAAACTATAATCTATAAATCTAAATCTATATAATTTATAAACTATAATGGTTTTTAAGTCGCTCCAACGTTACTTCAACTCACTTAACGTCACTTATTATTTTCATAAGACTAAGATTACATTTTCTTGGAATTGGAATTTCTTTAGAAAACCATTATAATTGTGAAACCAATTTTTCGAAAATTGCTAAATTCTTTGAATTTTCTATTTCAAAAATCCAAGAACCGCAAAAAAGTATTTAAAGATTTTTTTTATCTGAAAAAATATTTTTCATTTTATATATTCAATCGAAAAATGTAAATAAAAAAGTAGATCTTTCTGAAATTTGCTGTAATAAAAATTGTTTAATGTTTTTCTTTACAGAATGCGAAAAATGCAAAATAAGCACAAAAAGGTTAAACCTGAACAAATTTTGCAAAAGGGATTACGGTGAGTAACGCCAAGAAATACCAGAACATAAAAAAAGCTCGAATTATTAAAATAATTCAAATAGAATTAAAATTCCTCTTAAATAATTCGATTACTTTTTTGTAATTTGTAACGATTAATGGATTAATGTAATATTTTGTTATTATTTTAGCAATAATGGCGAAAGTAATTGGTCGCGAAGCGAGCACCGAGGTAACAAGCAGCGAACAATACGAATACACCAAAGAAAGCCAACAACAGGAACCCGAAAAAGAGACGGTGAAGTTCGATTTACAAATACAGACCATTTTCAAGCGTTCCCCACCCGAGTACGGAACAACGAATACAATCCTAAAACGAGGTCCTATGACCTGGATCATACCGACTAAAAATTTGGAATGTCGTTGCCCCAAAATTAAACTTAATCGGTAAACTCGAATTTTATATTGCGTCTTAATATAGTCATCTACAATATAGTCATCATCTATATATAATATTATCAATTATAATATATTTTACATATCAATTAGTTATAATTTAATTTAATTTTCACAAACAGACTAAAAACAGGACTTATTTCTTTATCATTTGTTTGAGAATATAGATTGCTTTTATTCTCAACTTTGAGAGAAATCGCACCATCTATCTATATATCCATCTGTCTTAAGGTTGCTATTATTTAGAAAGAGGTTTTAACTGCATATACTGATGGTTTCAAGGTAGTTGACAGAATATACAGTAATGTTCTCTCTAAGAAACTAAGGTCGTGTGCGAGTTAGGCTAAGTTGCGTTCTAAATGAGGGAAATACTAAGTTGTGCCGATAATGTAGTGATGTGTCGATACGTGTTGATAAATGGCTAAATGTGTGCAGTGCAAAAAATCCCAAAAAATCTCCCATTTGGTTTAGCATCAACTTAGCCTAACTCGCACACGTCCTAAACATACAAACTGACTTTTTTTGGTACAACTCTAGCTTACCCTATAGAAAGTAATAAACTGAATAGGAACATATTAAAACTATTAGATGATCGAGCTACTTTAATCTTTCAGTTTAATCTATTTTACTTCTGGAACTGTTTTTTGCTGTTATATATCGTATATATATAATATAGCAACGCAATTAATATTTTTCTTCTCTGAGCACTCCATCACAGAGAGAACACTTGTAATTCGAAACTTGTGACTAATTTGACCATATCGCTAACATTATGCAAATATTTTTGAAATCTTCTTGTATAGAACTGTTACATACAAAATGGGAACCATCCACGATATACAGACATCTGAATGTAACTTGACTCCGATTTGAATCTAATTGATACACCCTATAAAGATATTACTATTGCAGTAGGTTTTCTAAGAAGGTGACTTTCAATTAATTAACCGTGTTAAGTGATTACATTTCTTCTCGAATGATTTATACCACAGTTGAAAGTAAAGTGCCTTACATCTGCTCTATTATTCCCCAGAATATTAGCATCGAGAATATTAGCATAAGTGGACTAAACTAACATAACCTTTTAGAATTGCCTATCTTATTATTGAAGACGTTATATACATTGATTTCTTTAAATAATACTATCTAAAACATTTTTTTTTTTTATTTAATTGCAGTTCATATTTAATTTTGGGCAAATATTCAGAATCTCCGCCCGGTTACTTAGGCATTGGTTCACGGACAATTGTTATAGAATGGAAGGACGAGTGGGCGAGGCGCGTAAAACGCTTGGAACGCAGAGCGCGAACATGCCAATAAATTCTTTAGTTTATGTTTAATTAATTTGTGCGAAGTCTTTGTGTAATTTTAAGTAAAAGCTGTGTAAAAATATATTTCAGACATTTAATTGAAAATATATTTTATAGTTTTGTTTATAAATATATTTCAATGCAAATAATTCACATGATAATATTTATAACTACTCATACTAGCGTAAGCCATGTAACTACTAATGCATTTATTTATTATTTTAAAATTAATTAATTTCTGTTTTAAATAATTGTTTTTATTTTGTTATTAATTTAATTAAGCTGCTGTAAGTGATTTATTGATAACCAAAATGTATTGAAATACATACTATATATATGTATATGACAGAGAGTGGAATTTGAGGATATACTGTTTTAAAATTTCCTAATACTTCTGAACGGTTTTTTCGCAATGAATAATTTGACTGGCACCGTGAAAGAGAACCATATAATAGATACTTGCTCAACAGATTTAAATAAATTGAAAAAATTTAATACAAAACTAAAAAGTGTTTGTCCGTAGCACATAATTTTTTAATTTTCATTGCATTATCTCAAGCTATAGCAACTGAACTGTGTACCTATTTAAAAAAAATGCCAGAATGTAGCACTTGACACTTGCTCTGCTTTTCAAAAAAGTGTCAAAATGTAGCATAAAACTAAGAAGTATCTGTTTTTAGCACACAATTTTATTATATATACTGCAATTTATTGGATTTAATTATAACTTCCTGAAAATATATATATTCTAGAAGAAATTTTGAATTTTATTTATTAGAAGTTTTTCGTAATAATGCGAAACGGTTTAATTATAATTTTAATGAAATTGAAGTAATTCTTTATCGTTTTCATTGCACTATGTCAAGCTATAGCAACTGAACTGTGTACTTATTTAAAAAAAATGCCAGAATGTAGCACTTGATACTTGTTCTACTTTTCAAAAAAGTGCCAATATATAACATAGAACTACAAATACTGCACTGTATTGAATTTAATTGTAACTCCCTTGAAAGATATATATCCTAAGAGAAATTTTGAATTTTATTTATTATTAGAAGTTTTTCTTAATAAATGCGAAACGATTTAATTATAATTTTAATGATATTGAAGTATTTCTTGATAATATTAAATTCAATGAAAATCAAATTCTATTAATAATAAATATTTAATTTTTACAGCTTATATTTTGTACATATATATATTTTTTTTTTATTAATTTAATATTATATACAATTTCCAAATATATTTACTATATAAGATAATATATTTAAAATTATTTAGTTTTGAACATGTGAAACCAAACTTTGTGCATATTTATAATGGAAAAATTTAAATAAAATATTACATGAGTAATATGAGATTAATTTTAAAATTGCAAAAAATATATATTATTTATATAAAAAAATGAATAAAAAATTTTAAAATTTATATGTAATCATTTTATGTTAATGGAAAAAAATTTAAAATTATTGATAAATATTTAAATTTAAAATTATCAATCAAATATGTAATTCTACCAATAATGAATTATTATTTTTTTACGGTTAAATTTTTTTTATTAAAAATAAAGGATTTATTGTCATGTTCGCAAGTCCGCAACGAAATCCGTTAAATCGACAAATTATTTCCATTAAAATTGAACAGAAAAATTGTTCTAGAATCACATAAATGCAATAAAAGTAAGAAAACTCAACAATCAAATTTAAAGCAATAAACACCGATAATTTAAGTATTAAAATTTAAATTTAAGATAATAAAATAAGCAAATATATAAAGTTTAAATATTTTAATTCCAAGCACCTGACACACTTAAAAGCAGCGTGTGAGATATTTACATACATAAATGCATTGAACTAAAATATAAAGTCTGACTGTTATCTGTTTCAACTGCTTTATATTTGTATCGATTAATTTTGGGACTTTTATCGACATTTGAATTATACTAAAATATAGAGAAACTGTAACGAGTCAAATGTATCGAAATATATAGAAATATATAGAAATATATAACGCACAGTCAAAGAAAATATTATTTATGAAAAAATTATTATAAAATTGTAAGAAAAAAACCTATACACAATATATGCATAAAGAAGTATTACGACCATAAATTTATTTCACAAAAAAAAAAATTTAATTCAAAATAAAACTAACCTAAAATGAAATCTTTTCTATATCTTTTTTAATATGTTTAGAAAAAAATAATAAAAATTAGATCGAAGTTAAAGTTGAGTTAAAGGCTATGCTTAGTCTATTAATGGGACACAAATAGAAACAATATAGACACCCTTTTTCTTTGTCGATTTTGAGTTTCGAAGACAATAAGGCGACAAAAAGAAGAAAAGAGGCGATCCAAAAATACACAGTTAGGGACAACCGGATACACGAAGAGAACAAGTGGTAAAAAAAATAAAGACAAGTTATATACAATTGAGAGACAAAAGGAAACCAGGAATAAGAGATAACAGAAGCGCAAGGAAGAAACAATAGATATATAGATATAGATATATAGATATATTAACAAGACGATGACAAAAGAGGGTAACAGAAAAAGAGAAGGGAAGATTGAAGATATGAGCGAGAACCACATGACAGACAGACAAAAAGGAAAAGAAGGCAAGAAAAAGAGTGACAAGATAAAGACAAAAGCTAGAAAACAGGGAGACAACAAAGAACCTCCAAAAAGAAAAGAGAGAAAGACAAATGAGAATAAAAGGAAGGGATATACGAGAGAAAAGGAGCAGATAATAGAAGACAATAGAGTGGACAGAAACAAGAGAGACAAGAGAGTGAAATGGGATTTGTGTGTATAATATTTGCATCTATTTCTAATAAGAGCTTAACATTTGATAAAATTTTCTATTTACATTTTGAATATTTTTATCTACCAGAATCTGTTCCCGTTTTCAAAAGATCACATCAATGTTTTTATTTGACTTCTACTTATTTGTTTAATCCTCTTAGAGGTCTTTCTTCCTTCATCTGGTAGGCGTAGCTACGATCAGCCGCAGTAACCTAACCTAAAACATAATAACCTTTCGATATTGGATAACCGTTGGATTACTGGGTGGGACTAAAATGGGACAACCCCCTTTTTACTAAAATTTATTTAACATTTAATATTATTGTTTTAAAATAAAAATATTTACATAGTAAATTATTTTATTGCAATTTGAATTTTAAATTTATTATATATTTCGAAATAATTAAAATCAAACAAAATGATTGATTAAATTAATAAATTCATTTAAATGATTTGCGGTAACTTGTAATTTATAACTTTCCAAGAGAAAAGCCAATAAGTGTTATTTTCATTCGGAATATTTGAAAAAAAAATTAAATAAAATAAATTTTGTTTTTTTTTTCTGTAAAAAATTTTCAAAAGATTCGTGTCTTATGTAAATTGACTTGTCTCACTTAATATGGTACCTCTATTAAGTACACTTCATCAAATATAATAAATTAACACATAGTTTGGATCAAAGAAGTTTCGATCTTCATTGGTGTGGATTGTACTATTCATATCCAATAAAGGATGTTCTAAAAAACATAAAAAAAAACTTTTAATTAGTACGAAATAAACGCAGCATAAAAGTATGCAATATAAATGTGGCGAAAAGTTCACACTGCTAGGGACACTGTGCAGAGAGCTTTAAAAAATAAAATTTTATTTTATTTATGTTTGCAACGCAAAAGATATATTGATAAAAATTAATTTTATTTATGCAGTTTTCAGTTTCCAGTTTTCAGGTGTCTAAAGAAATAAGAATTATGGCTGTTTGCGGGGGGTGGTGCGTGCGGTGAAGGTTATATATTGCTACTACAATTATCAGAAATGCTACTACATCAGCTGCAAAACGCAGATAAATTAAAATTGCCAACCCAAAAATGTGAAAGAATTTTCTCATTCTACTGAACGCATTATGTTATAATTAACACGCTTAAGGCTGAAATATTTATAATTATGAAAATGATATAAAAAAATTCGCAATGTTGCATTTAAATTGATAATAATTCATTGCGGACGCATTTATCAAAGCAACCGACAAAATTGCTCCCGATGGCCGCCACAAATGTTGTCAAATGACATAACTATTGTTGTAGTATTTAAGGATTGTGGTTGTATTTGTTGTCGTTGCTGTTGTCGATGATGTTGTTGGTTTTGTAGTTGTTGTGTTAAATGTGGCATCTGCGTTTCACATAGTGTCGATATTGACCATAATCAGATTTCCATCGCCCCTACAACGAAAGAATCTGTCATGCAAACCGAAATGTTTAATTCAACGCGTCCTGGTTTTTATTTTAAATTCTATCACACACACACATTAAAAGCCGCAAACAACACAAATTCATATCAATAACACATCCGTTTCCGCTGCGTCTTCATAGTCCTCTGCGCTATTCTGATTTGATGGCGATGCAAATATTCGAAAATATTTTTAACAAACGCTATGATTGCTGCGCGGCACCTGAATGAATTCGCATTTACTTCTGCGTAATTTCCATGGAGACCAAATACCAATGCGGCTACAACAACAACAACAGCAACAGCAGCAACAATATTGTCACCAGAAATGCATAACAAAATGCTATTGGATTGCATTGAAATGCACACAATAGGAAGGTGTCCAGATTTATCGACATATTCCAGGGATTTTTTCCTCCGTTGGGCATTTTCCATACAAAGTCGCAAATAGTTTATATGGATCGAATTTTTTTTACTATGCATATCTTATTTCCTTCCGTCAGGAAACGAGTTTTTGCTTCCAATACAAGCAATATGAAAAGCTTAAAGGTAAAAAATTGATTAAACCCAGTAACAAAATTCAATAAAAATATTATTTGAAATAAGCCTATTTATTTGTTTCTGGACCCAGCTAATATGTGAATTTTGACAGTTGTCAAAGTGCAGCTATTATATTTATTTCATGCCTCCAAGCGATATAAGTAAAGAATTTAATATGAAATTTACAAATTTTAAGAGAATAAAATTAATAAAGCGACGTAAGATTTCTGTAGCTGATATTTATTTTCATACTCAAATCGCATTTTCCGTTTCATCAAAAAAACATTTGTTTCAAAAACCAATCATTTTTCCATTTAAGTTCTTAATAGCGTAAAGATATTCTGTTTTGGCTGGCTGGCTCGAAAGAGTCCCACTTGGATCAACAAGCCTTTAGTGTCACCATGTTAGAAAAATATACGTATACCTAGATAGAGGTAAACATTCTTGGAGCATATGCCGATAGCAGACAATGCCCTGTGAGCAGTACCGTTAACAACCTGCAATCTGTTCTTAAAAGAGAAACAGAACCATGAAGCATTAAACAGGTAAACGATTCTTAAGTTTAAGTACCTAGCTGATGCCAAATTTACCGGCATTATGAAAAGAATAGCGTGTAGTGTCGCTGTTGGCATAGTCGTTACAGCTCCTGTAGTGCTCAACATTGCATTACTCAGCGTTAAGGACTCCAGGTGCTTTACATTGTGACCGAAGTTTGGAAATTCTCATTTAAAATTCGCCGCTGTATATTTTTGATTTTTAAGTTATGTATGGCAGCACTGTCCTAATTACTATGCCAAAAATAGCCATCTGTCGGACAGTTCGTTTACGGCAGCTGTTGAAACCAGTTCACCTCAGTAGGCGTTGCGAAAAAAACAATGGAAAAAAATATTGAACAAAGAGTTTGCATCAAATTTTGTTTTTCGAACGAAATTTCGTGTGCAGAATCGTTGCGAATGTACAAAAGGCTTAGGGGAATCAGTTTTACACTCAAGTTTATGAGTGGTACAAAGCCTTTCAGGACTGTCGTACGACGTCGAAGACATGCCGCGTTCTGGACGATTGACCTCTACCACCGACGAAAACTTGAAAAGGCAAAGGAAATCGTGTTCAAAAATCCTCATGTGATGTTAGAGAGATAGCACGGAGCTAGGATCGGTCGTGAGATCTCGTTTGATTTTGGTGGACAATTTGTTATGCGACGTTCAACGCCCGGCTTGTTCCGATTACTAATTTGTTCAACATTATAACGATTTTAAGGCCAAAATTCAATAATACATCGAACAGCCACCGTATTCACCTGATCTTGCACCGTGTGACTTTTTCCTGTTTCCCAACCTCAAATTACCACTAGAGGACGCTTTTAATCCATAAAGACTAAAACAGAATTCGCAGAGGAACTCAAAGCCATACCGGAAAGCGCCTATAAAAATGTTTATGATTGGAAAACGTTGCATTTGTGTATCGCGTTCTACTGGAGCATATTTGAAGAGTAAATAAATATTGATGAAGATTAAGAATTTTGCGTTTTATTTAAAATTTTCCGGAAACTTTTCGGTCACAATGTACATAAGGTTTTTTGTTTGTTGCTGCCCACCATACCAATACTCCGCGAAACATTACTGATTTAACAACTAAAGCGAAAACCGAATAGATCAAGGAGGGATGAAGTCCTCAGGTACTACTCAACATCCTATTACATACACAGATTGCTGTTAAGGCTTCCTTCTTCTTCTTCTTTTGCATTTATGCAAAGTCCATCTTCTCGGCATTGTTCCCCTCAAATAAGTTTAATAAATATTTTGATTACTATCATAGTCCACAAGAAATAGGATCGCTGCCAATCTTGCAGTTTCCTTTGGCGCACTCGTTTTATCGTAGTGTAACGTTAGGTAACACAAATCTACCTTAAGTATACGTGAGCCTCGATTTTAATGTTGTATTTGCGTCTAGATATGCTTTTATATGAGCATTAGTTAAAGTTTCCTAAATCCACGGTGTATGCACGGTCTTGCATACTTTTATTAGAAAAACCATTTTAGATGTCATCTATAACGCTAGTAAGTGGTTTAGCATAACACAGTTGTTGAAAATTGTGTTAATCCAGCCAATAACATTTGGATCTGTACTCGACAGTTTAGGCGGGATTACACCATCAAATACTAGCAATTTATGCAATGAGAACGATCTGATCGTTCACTCTACTTTTGCACATATGGCGAGGCATACCAGCTAAATGAATTAATAATTGGAATTATTATGAAAAGTACTTAGAAAATATAGATTTTAACACTTAAATAAACCTTAATTTGATAACAAATATATTAAGCCACATGCAATTTTGTTTATGAATATGTTCAATATATGTTATTGTTGTTGGTGTTGTGGTTTGAGTTAGTGCTATTGCGCACTTTTACTCTTTTATGGCTGTGGGGGCTTATCCCTGCCTCGCAGTAAGCTTTAACTATACTAGAATTATTATCGTTTATGTATTTATTTATTATCGTTTATTTAGTATTTATGTTTTAACTGATGACGGACCGTAGATCAGCATATCTTCCTGTGTGTCCTGAGGTGGACTTATATATATATATATATATATATAGTAGTACATTACTAAATCTTAAAAACATTTTTTTAAATTATTATTTTATAATCTTAAAATAAAAGTCGTACATAGTTAAAACATTAATTTATTACGATTGTAATGTTTATTCTAAATTGGATATAATTTTACAACACAGAACCAATCAAACAAGAAATATATCTGTCAATTAATTAATCATGTTGTAATTAATTTGACGAGTACACATAAATCTTTATGTCGAAAACTAATTTAAAAATTATTTATACTTAAAATTTCATATTAATAAATTTCAGTTAATATTTAATTTTGGATATGTTTTATATTTAGCAACATTTTTAAATTTCGTATGCCTTAAATACGTCCAATCGCTGAAATTCAAAACAATTAATTTGAAATACAACCGTGTAACGAGAATTGCAAATAACTTCTGTCTCAGGCCAATATTAGTGAGGTCACTTTCACACATATGTGCGAAAGGCAATCATTTGACATCTTGAAATGTCACTTTAACATATTGTGACGAAAACAAGGAAAATTATTGTGTAGTTTAGATAATATAAATATTATTTTTCGAAATTTTATGTGCGTTGTTTTTTTCCAACGTTAGTTCACTCTCGAAATTGGCGTTAATAAAATAAATTGATTAATATGGCTGGGTCGGCATTGAGAAGGTTGATGGCAGAATACAAACGTTAGTACAATATTTTTGTGATCTTTTGTACGCTAAAAAACAATTTCGAAAGACCTTTGCACAAATGATTAGAGAGCGATTTATGCATTATTCAAGGTGTGATGTGCTACACGACCTCATCGTAGAAAAGAATATAAACTTAACTAGAATTCTAAACGTGCATTAGCAACAAAATTAAAATATATTTTTGTAATGTACTGCAATATAAAATTTATAAACTGTTAATTTGTTACAGAATTAACTCAAGATCCTCCGGAAGGTATTGTAGCTGGACCAGTAAGCGAAGACAACTTTTTTGAATGGGAAGCCTTAATAGCGTAAGTTTTATTTTAATCGTTACCGACTTGTATACATATTTATATTTTTAGCGGCCCTGAAGGTACATGTTTTGAAGGCGGAGTATTTCCAGCGCGGTTAATTTTTCCACCAGATTACCCGCTCAGCCCACCGAAAATGAAGTTTACTTGTGATATATTTCATCCCAATAGTAAGACACTTGATAACGTAAAAAATAAATCGAAGTTTATAATATACAATTTTTGTAGTATTCGCCGATGGCCGTGTGTGCATATCAATTCTACACGCACCTGGTGACGACCCCATGGGGTATGAACTATCTGCTGAGCGTTGGAGTCCCGTACAAAGTGTGGAAAAGATACTTCTGAGCGTGGTATCCATGTTAGCTGGTTAGTAATAGTAAAAGAGTTACATTAAAGCAGAAAAACATTTTCAGTATTTCCATATTTGATTTCCAGAACCGAACGATGAGTCAGGTGCCAATGTTGATGCAGCAATCATGTGGAGAGAACGACGTGAGGAATTCAATGCCATTGCGAAACGCTTGGTGCGCAAAACACTCGGTTTACCTACATAAGTGCAATGTACTCCATTCTTTAGTTATATGTATCAAGAAAAAAGAAAAATATGACGAAATATACCCTAGCCTGCTGCAAATTCCCAATGCTTAAAGCAATTAACACATTTTATTTCGTTTTCGTCAACCATTTTATTTTTATATACAGAAAAAGATCAACTAATTTAATTGTGTATTTAATAGTTCACGAAAATATGTATAAAACTAGAATATTATAAGGAATAGGTTTATAATAAATTGGTAAAAACCTAAAACATAAACTATTAAAAACATAATCAAATATTCTAAAATATTATTTAGATACAAAAATAAAAGTTTTAATTTGAACAAAATGTTATCTGACGTATTCTATTGTATTCTATCTCTGCATTATATGCAATATCTATGTATCTTATTTTATTCAAGCTACGCTAAATATTTTGTATATATTAAAAATAATATTACTTAATTGTAAATTTCTATTTCTAAATAATTATTTTTACATACACAAGTTTTATTTAATTTGTATTTTATGTATTGTATTTGCTAACAAAGGGCTGGCCCGGTAACAAGAATTATAGAGAAGTAAAAGAATTCATTTTTGAAAACAGAATCAAATTTGACGAATCTATACTGATTTTATCTCACACATGGTTTGCTACAAGATATTCTTATAGCCCTTAAAAGTTTCCAATAAAACAATATGTATGCAATAATAACGCAATAAGTAATCATAAGAGACACTCGACCTTTACCCCATGGGAAACATTCTCATGTTTTGGTAGCAAACTAAGGAAGACTGTCATCAAGAACAAGGGAAGTGAACAGCGAATAGATACACTAAAAAAAACAAGCTAGTCCAAGTGCATAAAGGCATTAGCCTAACTCAGAAACCATTACCAAATCGTCCAATTATTATTAATTTTATTATCTGTTATTTAACAAATTACACAGATAACCACCTATATGTGGGTATAATTTGTTTAGACTGTTGATAATTGCCCTAAAATCTCAAATTTCTTTTATTTATTTTAAATGCCAAAAATTCAAATATTTGGTTCCTATTGCGTATGTGGTGTAGTCCCACTGAAACAACATATTAACTGATTTTACGATATGCGACACTAAAAATTATTACGATATATTGAAATTTGTAAACGATCAAAAACTTCGCAATGAATATATTGCAGTTATTGAAATATGCAAAGCATGGATTTTACTATTGCGATAGAAAATTTAAAATAAAAAAAAACAAAAAGGGTCGGTTTTTTATTTATTTCCCAATTGGAAAAATTAATATAACAACTAATGAAATTGTAAAATTACATTGCATGAAAGTGCAAAGAATAAAAAATACAAAACAACTTATAATACTAATTCCTCCGTTTATGTCATGCAAATAAACTAATAACAAATGACTCAATATTTTGAATTTAACAATTTTTATTTATGTAATTTATTTTATTATAAGGTGTTTTAGTACATCCTACAACTTGTTGGGTAAACTTTTAACTATTAAAGAAAATCATTAATATATATGCATACCCTAGCTCAATAACATACGTGATTGTCAATTTCTATTTAGAAAGAGTCAATAAATAAATCAACGATAGAGAAAAAACTGACATGATAGCAATTTAGCACAAGTTTAGCATACTTTACTACAAATTCATTAACCAATTAAAACTTTACTACAAATATTTAACATTTTTTCGAAAAATGAAATGGCAACCCTACAACTACGCTCTATGGCGCTTCACGTATCTTGTATCTGCGAGTTGCATTAGCTTTACCGTATCTTCAACTATATTATTTGTTATTTGTTTTATAATTTCTATTAAGTGAAAATTTGTGTTTTCAGGTATGTCAATAATCGCTGTTAAAGAGTAATAAGTGCGAGATTTGTTAAATCTATTCTAATTGAAGCGTAACGAAACGACAATTGTTAAGATGCAAATATGTACCGATTTGATTTGAGCTAATGCTGAACTAAAAACAAATACCAATCGAAAGTTCAATTTTTCCTATCCCAGATAAACAAATCGTTCTTGTTAATTATATGTATTCAATTGTTAACTCAAAAAATAATGGTCTTATAATTTTAATTAAAATTTTAATGTTCATTTAAATATTCAAAGTCAGGCAAACAAACAGTTTGCTAAAAAATAAAAATAAAAAAAAATTTTATCAACAACGTCGTACAAAAACAAAATTATTACGTGCTCGCATACGGCAGCAGATACTGTAGCCAGCCGCTTCTCCACAAAATTCGTTAGGTAATTTTCAGTCAATTTCGATTGGCAGTTGTTGGTGGAGGTGATTCTGTGAACGCGGCTACGTTACGTTGCCCACTACGCGAGAGCAACACCACTTTGCTTAGAAAATACAGAAATATGTTTGCTGGTTTTTTATTTTGAATTGTGTTGCTAATTAAAAAATGAAAATAAACATAAGTAATACGTTTTTAATGTGAATTGTGTTGTGTGCTGATGAAATAATTTCTTAAAGTCTATTTGCGTGAGTGTGTATAATTATAAACAAAATCAAAGCATAGTTCGTACATTTTAAAGAGTGTATGTAACGAGTGTAATTCGTACCCAATGTGGTGGCGTATGAGTGTTTGAATGTGGAAGAGGAAGCATCTGCTGCTAACTGATCAAACGTGAACGCAGATAAAAACAGAAATAATTTTATCAAATTAAAATTCCCTCCATTAAAAATCGAACATCGAATGTCGAATTTCTATTGATTATTGTAGTTGCGCTATACAAATTGGTATATGTTTTAGTATTAATAGCAGTGTTGATTCATTACCTTCATGTTATCGTAACAATTGTAGTTATTATAGCACATTTTAAAAAATTTGATAAAAAATTTAATTTCAGACTACATACGTACATGCATGTAGCATTAATGCTAAAAGATTATGAATGTGCGTGTGTATGGGTGTTGTGAAATCGGTAATAAAAAAGAAATTGACGAAAAACCGTGACGTCATTTTTAAAAAATAGTACCTTATAAAGTAAATAGATTTTTTGCACAATAAATTATTTGAATTTTTTTTTTTTTTGTTGAAATGTCACATCTGACAAGTGAAAAGCTATTGCAACGACTGACAGTGACATATGCACACACTTACACATGTTTGCGTGTGTGTATATGTGTGTGTGTGTGTGTGTTTGGGAGTAAAGTATGATCATACAAAACACACAGGCGGAAATTCACTACCGCTTAAATGCACACTACCTAAATACCTGAGACTAAATGTAAAATTCTAATATTGTGAAGAAGAAACATCGACAATCCAGTTTTAAAACTCATCAAATCACAGCGAAAACCAGTTTAAACCAATTTATTCTCTTCTCTTAATACAGTTATATTTAGCCCACATCAGATTCTGCGACACGACTTTTCTTTTATCAAAGTGTAGCACAAACATGTTTAGTTAATTTTTTTTTGTTTTGTTTTTTTTTGTTTTTTTGAGCTTAAGATCTTCCATTTGAATTAGTGGGGCTTTTTTTCCGTTTACAAACAATGAGTCAGCATAACGCATGTGGGTTTTTTCTTCCACTGGCGTACATGCTAATTAATTAAGCATAAATTTTTTTTGCACTTTGCACTGCATTTTAAAACCATTTCAGTTTCATTTTTTTTTGTTCATTTAAAGCAACTGCTGTTTACGTCAATACGAGGAGACTAGTAAGCTTAAAAAATAAAAACATAAGCACACAATTTATACCTAGAAATAAATCACATTTAGGTTTACATTAATGCAATTTATATAAATTAAGCTTATAATTAAACCAAAAAAAAAACGATGCTTTAGTAAGTACCACACTTTCCGCCCTGATCAGTGCATAATTTGTGGCGCTCTACAACGCATTTGTAAGTAATTGACCTCAAACAAAACAAAACACCGGAACTCATACATAAAACCAACATTCATAACATACAGTGGTACGATATAATCATTATTTAGCATTCATTATTTAATTAATGTCAAAAGGTTCGGCACAATGTAACAACAGACGTAAAGCAACTAAAAATATTTGCAAATATATGAAGTAACTGCATTAATTAGCACTTCAAAGTGTTCGAACATTTCGCTACTCAAGCAGTTCGAACATGTACTCGAATTCGATCATTTGGATCGAACACCTTGAATATACGAAAAGCTTCAAGCTGTTTGAAGATTTTCAAGTTGCTCAAATAAGAAATCTGCTTTATTGTAAATTGTACATATTTTATTTATCTTTTTTTTTATACAAATATATATGACAGCAAAAGGTGGAACAGAATATGGTTGGTTGGAAGTTTTTCTGGTGGCTCATTGTCCATCAGATCAGATAAGACTCAAAATTCAAAACTGATTATTAATTAATGTATAATGTATGTATACATAATTAAAAATGCAAATTATTTTGTGTTAACAGAATTAGAACCATATACTTATGTAGTCCATATATTAAAATTATATTCAACTGGTAAAATTACCATCTACAGTTCCGAGTGTAATGAAGTCTAATTTGTATTGCCATACATACATATATGACAAAAAGAATCCACTTTCGAAAACTGTACACTGTAATAGTAGCAAATATTAGATTGGATTATAGAGAAAGTTTTCTGAATTAAAAAAAGTGTTACCCTTTATTATATCAGTTCATCCCAAACGCGTTGATAGATACAAAAGAAATTGTTGCCTATATCTATTGGAATTCGTGAAGTGGTCATTATTATTAAAATTTTAACTGTCATAAATGTTGTTAATTATATCTTAATTAATTTTAATTATAATAATTAATTATATATTATATCACAATGACAACAAAATAATATACAGGGTGTTTTTTTCCTCAATGTTAAAAACTAAAAAACCTTAAATTTAAAAAAAGTTTATTAAGTTTTTGATACAGGCCATTAAAAAGTTATATATACAGAAAAAAAAACCTTAAATGCAAACACTCCAACTATCTCGGAAACACTCTCCTAATAGCGAATTATACGTATATTAATCGTCGCTTTTTGTACTTAGGTTGCTTCTTAAAATATAGGTGTTAAAAATATTATTCGTTTGAGGATATTTGATAAAAGAAAGTTATTTACTTGTTTTTTGAATATCTATTATGGTAGATATAATAAGGTTATAAGGTTATATGTACCTTATTCTGCTCTGCGAAAACAGTTTATGAAAGAACTCTTTTTACCATAGATCTGTTTGTCTGTCGATCGGCTTTTTACATGACTACATTTTTCGACAAAAATTCACAAAATTGGTAGAACGTATGAGCAATAAATATATTTGTTTGTGTTTATTGAAAAAAGCAGTAGATGTCCAATTAGAGGTAGAAAAATAATGTGTGATAGATAAAAAGATGTTTCTATATTATATTTTTTATCTGAATTAATAGAATTGAATCTAGACCATCACAATGTTTTAATCCATTTAGGTATTAAAATCTATTAAGCTTTGAATTAAAGGATATGTAATAAGCTTAAAAATATTACCACTCACGCACTTCATCTCCAATATATTGAATATACTATAGATCAATACTTTCCCAACACGATGCTTACACGGTATTACTTGTCTATCAAAAAAAAAAAATTCTTATTTAAAACGCAATTTAAAGTTATAAAAGAAGGTATTTTTATAAAAGAAAAAAAAGGAATCATGATACAGTTGTGACAGATGGTTAGAAATCTACAAAGGCTAATAGATGGAGCATACGCCTAAAAGGGTTAGGAAACAGTACTATAGTCCCTCGTATCCTATATATTTTCTTTATTTTTTTGATTAAGAAATCGTCTATTACATTTATACCACTCTGGGATGGGATACTCTGTTTATGTAGTAATAAAAATATTATTTCATATAATCTCTATGATCTCTATTTAATATTGTATATTTTTGTATATATTTAAAGAAAAAATATCTTAAAATTTTTCAGAATTACCTAACTAAAGTTATAATAATTTATCGTCATGTTTAAAATAAATAATCGGACGGCTGCTGGTCCAGCAATAAACAATCAACCCAAAACAACTCCCATAGTGGACGATTATGAAATATCCAATACCGTTTTAGGATTGGGAATCAATGGAAAAGTTGTGCAATGCACGAATCGCAAATCGAATCAGAAATTCGCACTTAAGGTATTCTTATTTACATATTTCCGTTTTCAGTTTTCCATTGCAAACTGATTGCCCTTTTATTTTCAAACAAAATATCAACAAAAAACAAAATAATTTATTTGCACTTGATTAACATATTAACATCGGAAATATTTATTCGTAGGTGCTTTTGGACAATCCAAAGGCCAGACGAGAGGTTGATTTGCATTGGCGCGTCAGTGGCTGCAGACACATTGTTAACATCATTGACGTTTATGAGAACACATACAGTGGAAATAAATGTCTATTAGTTGTAATGGAATGGTAAGTGCGTTCCGCTGGAGATAAGATTTCATGTGTGACAGTTTAATTAAGAACTCTTTTCTGCCTTTTTTATTTTTTTATTTTGATTTTTTTTTCTTTCGTATTTATTTATTTTATTTTTGGACTCGATAAAAAGCATGGAGGGTGGTGAGCTTTTTCAACGTATACAAGATAACGCTGATGGTGCTTTTACGGAAAGAGGTATGTCATAGAGATTTACTTCCATCAACATTATACGTATGTTTATTTAACGATAAATCAAGGCTTACAAATGTAATAAATTTACGATGACAAGATAATTTTATTAATAGACGCTTGTGCATACTCGTATAGGGTATTATTTGATTACATTAACTCCAGTTTGTATTTCGTTGGTGAACTAATTTCACAGCATGTACCAGAACTTAAAGTACTTAAACCACAAGATTCAAGTGAGTTTTGTACTTTAGAAACTATTCGAACTTTCAAAATTTTGATATTTAAGTATAGTTGTGAACTAAAAGTCCATATAAAGGTTTTCTTCAGAAAATTATAAGTACAAGGGTCATGAGTATGTGTCTATGAGCTGTTTTAGCATAGAATATTTGCGAAGGTGGAATAAAGAGGTTTTTTCACAATTGATGTGTATTATATGTAGTAGGCGACATTTTCAAAATACAACTTAATCACATTACTTTAGTAAATGACGTTAATAAGTTCTGTGTATTATAGGGCTCTAGGTTGCACACTTCTAATAAGGCAATCCTTGAATATTAACTTTATAAATCGAACAATTGAAAATCAAATATAGAAATTACAACCATTTAGTAAGCATATCTAACAATATTATTTAATTTCAACTGTCTTTAAGTCTTTCTCTCTTTTAATATAAAGAATGCATATATATACAGTTCTTACTCGAATACTTTTGTCTTTATATTTATTAAACTTAATAGATAATGCTCTGAAATTTGAACTAAAAATTTATGGCTTAATTAGTTAGTGTTTTTGAGCGAGCACTGTACTTTGTTTGATTGCTACATTAAATACTCATGACCTACAAATTTTTATAAAATGTTTCTAAGTGTATTACAAGAATATGTTCCATTGTTCAAACATCAGTGAACATACTTTATTACCTTATTTTTACCAAATATATTAGACGATACACCTCTTATCGGACTATTTAAATGTTCATAAAATATTTAATTTTTTCTTATCTGCCATTTTCAGAGGCTGCACAAATAATGCATGACATTTGTGTTGCTGTGCATTACTTACACAGCAGAGATATTGCACATCGCGACTTAAAACCTGAAAATTTGCTCTATACTTCTCAACATCCGAATGCCATTTTAAAATTAACAGATTTTGGATTTGCCAAAGAAACTTTAATAAAGGATACACTGCAAACTCCTTGCTATACTCCTTATTATGTCGGTAAGTATCTTGAAGCGATGCTATTTGTATTTGCATAACATACATATTCTTTTCTTGATTTCTGCAGCTCCCGAAGTTTTAGGCCCTGAAAAATATGACAAGAGTTGCGATATTTGGTCCTTAGGCGTTATAATGTATATAATACTGTGTGGTTTTCCGCCATTCTATAGTAACCATGGTCTTGCTATATCACCAGGAATGAAGAAACGTATACGTACCGGTCAGTATGATTTCCCAAATCCAGAATGGGAAAATGTAAGTCAGGCTGCAAAGGACTTAATCAAAGGCATGCTAAATGTCGATCCAAGCAAACGTCTACGCATTGAAGACGTGATGCGCAACAGATGGATTGCGCAATATGCAGAAGTGCCAATGACACCATTGTGCACTGGACGTATGCTAAAGGAGGGTGAAGAAACATGGCCAGAAGTTCAAGAAGAAATGATGCGTTCATTAGCAACAATGCGAGTGGATTACGATCAGGTTAAGTGTTATAACTGACTGTTGTACTTTCAACTTAAACTAATTAATTGTTTTTAATTACATTTTTCAGACTCATATTAAGGCTTTAGACAAATCCAATAATGCTTTATTGAGCAAGCGACGAAAAAAGATTGAGGAAATTGCAGCACAGAAGAAATGAAAGTCCAATAAGCAACTAAAAGTCAACAACTTTGAAGATCGTAATAATAGTGGATTTAGTAATACTTTATACTTATATCCATTGCTAAGGAAGTAAACTTATATATGCTTTTAATATTATTTACTTAAAGTATAATTTTTAACGGAAGTGCTCTTTTATCAATTACTGCGGAAACAAAATAACTTTAACTAAACAAAACAAAACAAAACACTTTAGCTCTAATAAGACAAAATATTAATAAATGACGATTTAATAAATTATTATAAGATATGTACATATATATAAAATAATATTATATATATAAATATAGTGGGCAACGGTTTTCGCATAGAATAGACTAATTTAGTAAAGCAAAGCACG